CACGTGATCAATTTAAACCAATAAGAATCGGTGAAAATTTAGTGGTGAACTACAAGGGGAAATAGTGGATCCATGCAATTCTTTGAGACGAAGAAAGTGTGTTTTCCGATTGCCGCGGGAAGTGAAGTTTGTTCGCTACATTTTCAGGTTTAAAGAAAAGCTCCTTTTGAAATACATCCTGTGTCTCAAAAGAAGAAGTTATCTACGTCCGCCACCACTTTACTCAGAGCGAATCGCATGAAACAGATATTGCGGTGGAATCACCAAGCTAATGCACTTCAACTGCCCCCGTTGTTGAAACCAGTGAAAACATCGAGCCAAATGACAACGACTTCGAGGCGAGCTAAATGCAATCGGTGAAACATTTTCTAAGATTCCCTAGCCTAAAATGTAGCAAACAAACTTTTACAGTTCCCTCGACGATGCAGTCGTCCGTTTCGTAAACGGTCGATGCCAATTTCGCGACAATAAGAAATTTTTTAACTATCAACGAATTTTTCTCTACGAAATTAAAGAAAAAAGAAAATTTGTAAGTAACCAACCAGTATAGAACTCGAAACCTCTGTTTTCTAACATCCTTCCTCTACCACTACACTACCAGGTTGATCCGCAAAATCTCCGCAAAATTTAATTATAAAACGTGACTTTCTTAAATATTAATGATAGAGTTGCCCCGACCATCAAATAAAAGCTAACCGCGAGCAAACCAGTGTGAATATGAACAATCAAGCATTTGACGAGTGCATTGTACTCAATCAACAAATTAAAACCAGTTTCTACCTTGTCCAGGCCTATACTAAAGCAGATATGGCATCGTGACCAGGAGCCCATGACATGGGCTCCTGGCATCGTCCATTCTGAAAGGCTTGGTTACCAATGATGACATCGACCGTTTACGAAACGGAAATCAGCCTCGGCAATCGTGAACCCCTTTCCTTCGTCTGTTTTCCCCTCAGAGACGAACGAGGCCCAACTAGTCTCGCTTCAATGCAACTCGCCCCGGGCGACGATCGAGTGGTTGGCCATAAATACATATAGTGTATTACGTTGCGTCTATTTTTTTCTCAGTAGATTTCAAAGTGCTCCCGGATTTACCTAGTTTGGATAATTTGTCTTTGCTCGAATAACTACGCAGTTAAGCTGAAAAATCCATATTCAAATTAACAATTATAGCTGACGTAAGACCGAAATAAACCAATCATATTTCAGATCGCAACGATGGGGAATCCCCGTAGGATCAAGGCCATTTTCTGAGAAAATAAGTGATATAAACATTTTTAAAGAAGCCTGTTAAACGGTAGCTAAACACGCTCATCGTCATCACTGTCGACGGATTTCAATAGTGTGTACTGCTTTTGGAAAATCAAACGTTCGTTTGTTTTACATAATCATCACTTGAACAAAATATTTTATTTCATCGATCGTTTACTAAAACCGGAAGTCAAGCGATCTTGTTGCGTCTCGTTCGCTTGCAAGGACAGCGTTTCGACAAAGCTCTCTTTTGATCGTATCTGCTGCAGTCGTGACGCACGGCGTGCCTGTGGCGATGGAAATCCTGGGTACACGAGTTGTACGTGGACGAGATTGGGAATGGGGGAATCAGGATGGCGGAGAAGGTTGCGTAGGAACTGTGGTTGAAATTGGTCAAGACAAGAAATCGCCTTTCACCGCTCAGCTTGTTTGGATTCAGTGGGATTGTGGGACTAAAGCAAACTACAGGGCTGGCTTCGATGGAAAACACGATCTCCGTGTGTTTGAAACCAGAAATCAAGGTGAAATGTATCGTAATTTTATTATGTTCCTCAGAAGTCGAACTCGCAACTCGTTCCCATGAGGAGGTAAAACTAAATGCACGACAATCATAATTTATTGCAAACGGTCAAAACAACGAATATTATAATTAATGCATAGAAATCTCTGTTTATAGTGTATTTTATTGGAGGCAGCTAATACAGTATCGAAACGATCGAGACCGTGCAAAATCATTTCGATATACTTTCGGTAGCACATTTGACAGTCCGGAATGGCGAAGTCCAAAAATTAACACTGGCCCCTCGTGACCTGGACTTCGACAAAATCGACGCTTTCTAAGACAGCTTCGCGCTTTGTAAGAAAAAAACATAATAATAATAGTACCATCCATATGGTTAAAATTTCTGTAATTGTGACGGTGCTCCCTGTCAAAGGAAGTGAAGAGTAAACGTGCATATATTATACACATTTTTTTAGCCTATTGACGCTCACTAGACGCCTTGCTGCGTGTACCTAGGCAATCGTTATACTGAGAAGCACTAGCTATATTGCAATTGAGCTAAATATTTTGCATTTGAAGTTGTAACCGGACTCGAGAAAGCGGCACAAATCGAGCCTAGTACGAAATTCAATCGAATCGATGTGCTCAAGCTATTCTACTATGGATTGAATTTCTTGGAATCGATTAATAGCTTATTACTCGTTTGCAGGCCTTTAAGACGTGAGATGAGTAAAGTCTTTATATCAGCCTATAAACGTTTCAGTCTATTTTCCTTAGCCTTGGTCGTTGTTGTTGTTGTTATTGTTTTTGCGTTTCTCAAGCAAGCGAGACATTTGGGATTTCAGAGTTATGGCGGTGCGTGACATAAAGCTACGAATGCTTTTGTCGAAAAACATATACTTATCTCGTGATTTTTAGCCCATTCAGAAGTGCTTATGTAAATGCTTGTTTGTTCAGTACAGATAATTAGAGATAGCCAAAGTAAGTTCCACATGTTTACACGATTTTCCGGCGGCAATTTTGGTGTACCGCGGAGGTACACCAACATTGCGGCATCATACTGGGCTCTGTAAATTGGTGCAAAATATTTCGACGAATATCTGAGGTTTGGGAAAACGCACAGACTTAAAAAATTAGAGGAGTGTCATCTTTATTAATCTCCTATAACATCACAGTTTCTTGACTTTATCCACTAAATGGTTTTCGAATAATTTTTTTTTTATTGCGTCATGATTGCGTGACAGTGCAAGCCAAGAATTGTTTTGCTGGGGTCAACATACATTAGTTTCTTTCAGCTTAAATGTAAAATAAGTCGCTACATAGGTTTCATTCTTGTAAAGACACATAACTCTCTTACAAAAAAATAACGAGAGAATATCGTTTAGTTCGAGATTTTAACTTTATTATACTTTAGAAGTTTCTCAGAGCGTTTTACTTAGGTGCACTCGAACACATACATTCGTAAACAAATGCTCTAACCTTTCTGCTCTTGTTGCTCAGACGTTCTTGAGTTCCTGCTGGGATTCTACTTGGTTCACGATCACATCTAAAAATACCATGACGCTTCTGAAGATGCTTTTTATCAAGTTGAAGAGTTGGTAGCCCCGGTTGATAGCTCCTTTGGTATAACATGTTTCTTGATAAATTCACTCAAAATGTTCGCTCATAAATTGATCTCTCGTAAGGCTTACAGACCGACCCGTTCCGAAAACGCTTAATGTCCTTTAGTGTCGGTCTACCGCGAACGGTGTGTTCGTTTGTATGTGATTTCATCGCCCTAGAAATCATGGAATCCGTGCTAACGTTTCACGACGACAACTTCTAGTTACGTCTGTAAAATTCATTGTGCTGTGCGCCTACACAGGTGACGCATGCGCCTTAGAAACCAGACGGCGATTTGTGACTGAACGAGGACAGAAAAAAAAAGATAGAGCCGAAATTTAAACCCATGCGTCACTGCCAGGGTAATAAATGCTGTTGTTGTTCCGTGTTGTTTGTGAAACTGTGGCCAGCGATGAAAAAGACCTCAATGTTCACACGTGGACCACCAGAACCAACAAATTCCTCGTAAAATGTGCATACTGAACGTCTCACAAACTAAAACCAAGCTATATGCCACAGCAAAATCTTTTATTGCCGGGATTTTCCTCATTCTGCACTCATAATAAGGTCATCAAATAATTAAATTTGCCTTCTGTTCTAGGGGTAAGGCACGTTTATGTCCGTTGCGATGGCTGCAATCAAGATCCTGTTGTTGGTTTGCGCTGGCGCTGTTTAAACTGCGCAAACTATGATCTCTGTACTACGTGTTACATGACAGATATCCATGATACCACTCATCGTTTTGAACGTATTGACAAGAGTCGTGCGAAAGGGTAAGTTGTCAAGATGATAA